GGGAGAGATTGATATCAAGGAGCCAAGATGGGGGCGACCCACTAATGTTTTTGTTGTTTGACTTTTTATGCCATAGTTGAACCTATCGAGACCTAGATCTGAACCTACCACTTGTGGCCTGACAAGTCCTCCTGACCATTTTGCCTGTAGATTATTTAAGGCCAGAGATGTCTTTATAGATGTTCCCATGCCTAGGACAACACAAGCACATTCAAAACTCATGGCTGTTTCTCTTCATTGTGTACATTGTCTGGTTACCTCTGCAGCCTAAGTAAACCCAGTAACAGACTTAAAGTGGTAAGGTTTATGCTGAAGGGAGGATCTCACAGGGCGTGTCATTTCCCCTTCACTGCATTTGGTAGATGGAATTCTAAAAAAAAAATATGGTTTTATATACACACACAGCAGCCCATAACATTTTCTTGGTTTAGGTTTTTTTGGTCACACTCAAGTAGGATCGTTGGTGAAAACTGCGATGAAGCTTATATGTAAGGCCTAGTATGCTCATGGAAGCATGATTTCTAAAACAAATCCCTGATCCACTGCAGTGTCATTTTAAACCACCTGACAAGTTAAAAGCTAAATCTACAGAGCTTGAGCTTTTGCGGTTTTACTTACACTGAATAAGCTCAACTCAACAAGCTCTGATTTTGTGCTTGAGGAAATAACTGTCTCAGATGTAGCCCAACCAATGTAATTTTGCCTTTCAAACCACTAATACTGTACTAGAATAGGAGAATGTTGAATCTTTCCAAAGACAAATAAATAGAATCTATCATAAGTTGTAGTCTACCAGCCCACTACATCAGTCATTTGGCAGCTTAAAAAAGTATGGACGATAACCCTTGAGAAACCTTCCTGCTCCTAGTTTTATTATCTTTCCTTGTGATCACTTACAGACCAGCAATCAGCTGGCCATGAATGATTTTAATATTTTCTGAACAGCTCATAATGCCAGACTGGGGTAGGAGTAGAGTCAAGTAGAGCTTATTAAATTCAAGTTTAATTGGTTTCGAGGTGGAGGATAACAATTCATGGTCTATTTTCCTGCTTGTGTAATTTGGTCAACAGAAGAAAATTACAATAAAATACTTTTGTTTGAAAACACCATTCCATGAGTTTACATTCTGCTTTAAATTCACTCTTCAAATATTTATATCATTTGCTTTGGTTTCTGATAGAAAGAACAATCAATTCACAATTGCTTTTCAGTGTAAACATAATAAGCTATTCTCCAATATTCATGACTATTTTTTCCATAAGAATATAAGGTACAACTAGTATGCACATTAGTTTTTTCTTATCAACATATTTTATTCTATTCCAAGCTTGTTTAAATTTTTT